TCACCACCACCACCTCCCAAACCCTGTGTGTTATTGTCCAAGAGCTGCCACATTTCTCTCCTGTGTGCCTACAAATAAATGGTAAAGTCTAAACCTACATATCTGAATCCATTAGCCACATCTTTGTTACCTACCGATGGTCCTGGAAGTCCAGGGAGCCCCACCGCCTGATGAAGAATTAGATAAATGTTTTATTCTTGAATGGAGGCTGCAACAATAACAGATGACTTCTCTGAACAAAATGTTAGACTTACATATGGGATATCACCTGGTTCACCTTTCTGTCCCTGTGAAGGAAGCACATCAGCGTTTTAAAGAAACTATTTTTAACATTTCGTATTGAAATGAACACATTTTTGTGAAAAGCTTACCTTAAAGCCCAACATTTCTTGGATAAAGCATAAACAAAAAGAAGAACAATATGTTACAACAAATCAACATAAAGTCACAAATTTAAGCTGCTAAATGTGGTCTTCCTCACGGGTTAGTCCTGGGACCTAAATTATTTATGCTTTATTAAAATTATACTTTTACAGTGTCCAGTATTTTGAAGTTTATAATGTGTTTTGTTTTGGGTTTTTTTTTCCAGAAATATGGACAAACTAAAATAAAAAGAACTGGCTGGATTAAAAAAATGTTTTGATTATGATAAGCTATCCTTAAATGAAAAAAAAGGAAATCTAATTTATGATATTTTATGGTAATCGGATTTACAATTATCTAGAGTTACACATAAATGGAGTTGAAATTGAAAGAGTTTGTGAAACCAAATTTTAGGTATAATTCTGGATAACAAACTTAGTTGGAAGCCTCCCATTAAATATATTAGAAATAAATTTTAAAATATCATTGGAACATTGTTTAAAATAAAAGTTTTAATAAATGTAAAAGGCTTGTGTATTATACACTCCTCCTTGTTTATGCTCTGTTATATTGCTCAGAAATATAGGGAAAGGCAAATAAAATAATTCCTTAAGTTACAAAAAATTGCTATTAAGCTTATTCAAAAAAGTGGGAAATTGTGAACCATAATAATACTTTAAAATTTAAAGACATTAAACATATATAAAAATACCAGAAATATTGTATAAAGCATTGAACAAAAGTCTTCCTGTTTGAATTCAGAAATTATTTAATTAAAGGTATAGTAAATAATTTACGAGGTTTGATCATCTTTGTACATGCTAAAGAGAAAAGTAAATTAAATCTTGTGTTTCGGTTATCAGTGTGAAACTATGAAATGAATTGATTGATGATCTCAAATTATGTGCTGTGCGCATTGTGTAACCATGTTTGTATCTAATACATGTATGTGAATATACGTATGTGTACGCACATGTATATTTAATTTAAATGTATGTATGAATGTGTGTGTATTTGTTTCTGCTACAGAGTGGCTGTATTATATATTGTCAGAATTAAATACAGTAAATATGGAAGAATACTTTCAAGTTTTCTTGTTTAATCTAGATTTGAGATATTTTACATTTTTTGTTTTACTTTCACATACTTCTTGAGACAAGGAAAAAAAACTAAAAATCTTTTTTTTCCAAAATTTTTCCAAAATTCTGTGGTATTCAGTTTGATGCAAGTACAATGTATGTATGTATGTATGTATGTATGTATGTATGTATGTATGTATGTATGTATGTATGTATGTATGTATGT